GTCCCCATCCCCATCCTCGCTGGTGGGTCCCCATCCCTCGCCAATGATGTCCCCATCCCCACCCCTTGCTGGTGATGTCCCCAACCCCATCCTCGCTGGTGGGTTCCCATCCCTCACCGGTGATGTCCCCATCCCCACCCCTTGCCCACAGGTCCCCAGTCCTCACTGGTGATGTCCCCAACCCCATCCTTGCTGGTGGGTCCCCATCCCCTGCCGGTGACACCCCCATCCCCAACCCTTGCCCACAGGTCCCTATCCCTCGCCAGTGACGTCCCCATCCCCATCCTCGCTGGTGGGTCCCCATCCCTCACCGGTGATGTCCCCATCCCCACCCCTTGCCGGTGACATCCCCAACGCCATCCTCGCTGGTGGGTTCCCATCCCCACCCCTTGCCCACGGGTCCCCATCCCTTACCAGTGATGTCCCTATCCCCACCCCTCACCCACAAGTTCCCATCCCTCACTGGTGATGGTGACGTCCTCCACCCCATCCTCACTGGTGGGTCCCCTTCCCTCGCTGGTGATGTCCCCATCCCCACCCCTTGCCGGTGACATCCCCAACCCCATCCTCGCTGGTGGGTCCCCTTCCCTCACCAGTGATGTTCCCATCCCCACCCCTTGCCCACAGGTCCCCACCCCTTGCCGGTGATGGGTCCCCATCCCCATTGCTTGTCAGTGATGTCCCCATCTCTCGCTGGTGATGTCCCCATCCCTCACCAGTGACCTCCCCATCCCTATCCCTCGCCCGCGGGTCCCCATCCCTCACGGGTGACGTCCCCCACCCCAGCCCTCCCCGGGAACCCCCTGCAGCCAGCCCATCCCCGCGCCGCTCACCGGGATGGATATCCTGGAAAAGGGATTTCCAGATGGTGTACTGCAGCGGCCCCGTGTATTTGGAGGTGGGAAAGTCCTCGTAGGTCAAGTTGGTCTCGTGGATCTTCCCCTTCAGCCTGCGAAGGAGAGATGATGGAGCAGGTGGGGGGAACGGGGGGGGACCCCAGCGTCACCCCGGTGTCACCCACCTCTCAGAAAGAGACGCGACGCCGGCTAAAAAGACGTGTTTGTCGGCTTCGGCCAAGCGCTCCTGGAGGATCTGGCTGCCCTCCTGCACCTTGCGGAGCTGCTGGCTGTAGCGCTGGATCTTCTGCTCGATGTCGGTCAGCGTCCGCGCCGTGTCCGCCTCCAGCTCCTCCAGCATCGCCTTCTGCCGCTCCCGCAGCAGCCGGTGCAGCCGCTCGAACGCCTCCCCGATAGTCACCCGCAGGCTCTTGGCTGAGGACTTTTGGGGTGCGGGTGGGTGTCAGGACCCCCTTAAACCTGCCCTGACCCCTCCATGAATCCATAATTCCCAAAATAAATCCCACGGACCCGTTAATCCAAATGATTCCAGATGCTCCAAGCATCCACGGATGGATATTTGACCCCGCAACCCCTACAGAAAACTGAACAAAAACCCCGGTCGCTGGCGGGGACGGAGGGAAAATTGAACCTCGCTGAAAGCTGAACCCATGAGCAAGGAGAAGGAGGTCAATATAAAATAAAAATGAATTAAGAAGATAAATAAAAGCAGCCCTGAAGGAAATAAAAGAGGGACGAGTAGCCTGACGGGTGGCTTTGCCAACTGCCAGTGGGTTTCAGGGTACCGGAGGAGGAAAAAGCGGGGCAGATGCGTGAAACTGGGGGGTTTGGGGTCCTTGGAGGCCCCAGAACACGGTCGGCGAGGCTCGGGGCTGGGGCGCTGCCGGGGGGCACAGCCGCGTCCCTGCTCGTACCTTGGTCTCAGCCAGCTGCCGTTTGAGGAGGGGCAGGGCTTCGGGGTGGG